AAGTTATTACGCATCACCCGATGAAATGTTGCTGATATAAATCTTCACGAGTATGGTTGCATTCACTTTTGTCTGGTCCCATGCCTGCGAATAAACCTTCCACTCATCACGTCGAAGACATAACAACCAGCTTAACACTGAAAAAGACTAGCTATCACTGTTGATGTAGAGTTGGGACGACTCTATGTCTCTCTCGGGCATGTTAGGTTTTGTTGTGTATTCTATCGGTATCAGCATACAATTATACGAATGTTGTTATGAGCCAGTGTTTCAACACCCTCCCCCACTCGCCTGAACGTGCAGATGTAAGAGTGTCGTTTAGTCAGTATTAGGCATACGTGATTGTATTTGCGGATGTGTTCAGAAAATAAATCTGCATCTTCCGTAGTCAAGTTCAGCACCTGAGTACATGGCTGTAACTAAACCTCGTCTCTGAGATGTCTCTACAGCTAAAAAGAAATAATTTTTTAAAAACAGCGACCGAGCTGAGGTCTGCTGTTCCTTTACAGAGAACTGCTGTAAAATCTATAAAAATCTTTAATTTCTATATATCTACACGACAAACCTACATAATATTATAAAATGCAGCTACCCTTATATAATATCATAACAGAGAATATAATTTGTCGACAAGTCGTTTCCACGGCTCTACGAGATCAGCGTCAGAGATTTTCAGACCGTTGCACAAATAGGCGTACGAAAGACCATTATGCATATCCACTCGAACATTTTGACCTCCAAATCCAGAATGCCCGAATATCCACTGTCCCTGAAAAGATCTGGTTTTTCTCAATATTAAGCACCCTAAAAATTCGTAACTTGACTGTTTTCCTTAGTTCTCACATGCGAATTAAACGCAAATATGAAACTCGACCATGTGCCGTAGAAATTCATCTACATGTTATAAAATGTGGTGAGACCCACATACTAACGATCTTTCAGTTGCAATTTTCAACAAATATCGCTGAAACTCGCTTTGAACATGAAAGTGCCACACATCTTTTGAAATGGTTAGGGGTTTAAGCAGAAATGGAGTACCGGTGTAAGTCAGGAGGCACACCTATTGATTGCTCTAATGGAAATACACAGTCTTGCACTGCGGAAGAGTAATTCCTAGTGCACTCCTTCCTCTACACTCGCAAATATAGGTCAGTTGTGATCACTGGAAATAGCAGCACAAAGGTTCTCACGCATTGGATAGGATTCTAGGTGTCCTTACACCGAAGAAATAGAAAAGACGCGACAACACCAAGAACTACAGCACGTTATGGACCATCGAAGGACCAGGAGGCAGAGCCAGGCGAGGCATGGAAAGAAGACGGCGTTTGGCCGGCTACGTACAGGCGACGCAATGAGAGAATCGGGTTAAAGCGCGCGATTTCGGAGAGTGGAGACAAATCGATCGATGGAATAGGATGGAGTAGAAGTGTAAGATGTGAATGCAACGAAGCAGAAGGCCAGAAAGAGCTTCTAGTGAATGCACTCCAAGAACCAAGTTTGAGCATCCCCGTCGCCAGCATTCGTGAAAGACGTCCGTGGGCAATTCGAACGCGTAGCAGCCTTTTCGAGTTTTCGAATTTCTAATCAAAACGAAAGCAATACTTCAGTTCTTTTCACTATTATCGTGGATAATGAGTCTCAAGCCAGTGATTTATGGCTGAAATAGAATCATGATTTTTCCGCGCAAGATTCCTTTAATTAGAATTGCATAACTAGGAGGGTTCGTTGTCTCACTCTACTAGGCGTGGCTTGTTCCTACGACCTCACGAGGAACGGTTTCTCGCGCTCAAGGATTTCACCATATATTCCTAGCATGCGAGACTGAACGGGAGACCTTGTATCCAAGGAGCGTGATCAAGGACTACGCACTTTAGCGGACTCTGCGACGCGTGGGACTAATGCTAAGGGAGAAGAAGTAATGAACAGGACATGACTAGACCACTATGGGCGTTTTGCGGGATAAACGGTCAACGTACAAAGTAAGGTGCCATTCGGGCCTTACTTGTTGCACGCAATCGAAACCCTTGCAGGATTTCAATTATTTTTGAAGTCGATTCGAATTCGTCTCGTCGGATGTGTGGTCCTCTAGCGCACAAAAATTCGAAGATTTTATAATGTGACAAGCGGCGGATGAATACCAGAGATCGAAATATAAAGACACCTGCTGACGTGCCGCGATGTACCCACCCCCTTCTTCCTAAGGCTAAAGTTCGTATCCAAACTGGTGATGGTTGATCACGTTATATGCTGAATATTGTTCTTCCCAAAAAACGAATCATTTTTCCCAGCAGAATTCGAACCCCACCAGGTAGCCATGGCCTCGGAGGCTTCTTTTTGCACATTTACGCGAATTGAGCTCACCACTGTACATGCGTACAGTGAAGGCGCACCCTTCATTCGCCACACAAAAATGTAAAAGGACAACTAATACAAACTAAAGGTTCCAACCTTGATGAGCTAGAAAAGAACCACAACACTGAATTTCTTCTGACTGGACTCTTTCCTCTTTTTGCCCGCTTTTGTTCTTTGCCATAGAAGCCGTGATTTGCCTGCGTACGTCAGTAAGTTCTCGAACTCGAAGCAATGGAAGCCAGATAACAAAATTCCGACTTTTCTGGAATCCACCTTGCAAGTTCACGGATAAATTATACGAAACATGGGCGCTATCGCAGGATACAAGGGCGTCCTCTGGAATCAAGCTCAGACGGGAGCAGAATTTTCAGGAGAACTGGGAAGTGTTCACTCACCCTGAATTTTCTCCTGCCTCGCCTAACAAGGAGGGTCTTTCAGGACATGGAGCGTTTTTTCAAAATGGTTCCCTGATGTTGTAGAGGCTCATGTGAGGAACACAGAACCATGGTCCATTTCCTGAACGCCCCCAGGAATGTCAAAACAGCGGGAAGAAATGGTCCAAAGTTCGATCCTCCGTGATGACAAATTTTTGCAATTTATGTTGGCGCCTCCAAATTGCCGCAAAACACGACAATGACATCTTCTCGACGATGGCGCCATTTGGCGGCAATCTGGGGGCGCCAAACTATATTGCAAAAATTAGTCATCACCGGGGATCGAACTCTGGACCATTTCTTCCACTGTTTTGACATTCCTGGAGGCGTTCAGGAAAAATGGATCATGGTTCTGTGTTCCTCGCATGAGCCCTACAACATGCAGAAAACCATTTCGAAAAAGCGCTCCATGTCCTGAAAGACCTCCCTTGTAAGGCGTAGTCCCGACTTCGACAGAAAGGAGATGTTTTACGCGGTTTCCGAATGCATTGCCATTATTATGCCCCCGCCTATTACTATAGCGCCTAAACCATGTACTAAAATACAGCCTACTCATTTGACACTGATGAAGAGTAGGCAGGCTAAATAACTAGCCAGAATTTCACTTGTACGTTCGCGAATAGCCTGCGCTGACAGCCTCTAATGCCTATTAGGTGGGGTTTCTCGAGTCTATGGTTGTCCATTTTCTACTTGTGACTGGTAAAAAGCACTAGCAATGCGATAAGTGGCTGAGGCTGCTCTCCATTGCCTTGAAGTCCAATAAACAGCGACATTCACTTATCATGATGGAAAAGGAATAATGAACAAAAAATACAATCCATAAGTTATAATATAAATGTGAATTTCTTAACATTGTCTTTCAGAAGGTAAGCGGAATGCAGAAAGTTGAAACTACCAACCTTCGGATTCTTCGTGAACTGAAATCCATAGCCCTTATTCTCCTCATAGCCGATCACATGGTCATAGTCGTGCTCTAACACGGGCCGCTCCAAATTCTTATGAAATGCGTCGCTAAGAATTTTCCGTTCAGCAATCAGAGAGTGGAAATGAGCCACAGATCGAGCGTTACCGATTCCCATATTTGATGGCATTGGCAGTAGGCGATTGTCGAACGAGTTGTACTGAAGGGGTTCAGATTGATTTCTATAGAAAATATCTGAAATCGACTTTGAAACGTCGGCACCATAGGCACGGCATCCCACCATTCGATGGGATGAAGTCATTTCTTCTCCCCCTCTGGTGCAATACAAGTGGAAGGAGCACGCCGACTTTTCGAATACGGTAGTCGCGAAATATATGTACATGTGGAATGCCGCCCGCTGTTATGAGTCACGAGCGAAGGAATTCGCGCCCAAAGGGAATGTAACCAGTTCAGGTGGTGAAGGAGGGCCTTCAATGCGGTCGAAGGTGTATGTTGGGCTATTCCATAGCGCTCTTCATCTCAACGCAGTGGGAACGAGCTCCAGGTACCTACATTTTGCGCCTACCGTATTCCAAAAATCGGCGGGCCCATCGCACCTGTACTGAACCCTTCTTCTTCTCATTACAATATTTCAAAACATCAACTCAATCTTCCATCCAGTGGTAATCCAATGGCCACGTCTGCGTAAAAGTCGTTTTGGTGTCGTTGTCACAGCGTTCCATCGCCGCAACGCTTCAGGATCTCGCCGTCCTTCAGATTCAATTTGCAGGTCACCCGGATATTGCAGCACAGCCACACGCTCATTGTCATTCGGATGTTGAAGGCCGATTGATAGATCAACGATTCCTTCAACAGGAAACTCATCTCTCCAACAAATTCATCGAAAAAAATCCGAAAGAAATTTCTGTTTAGTAATATTCGAAAATGAGCGAAAAAATATATTAGAAAGGTACCATAATCTCGTGTGATCTCGTTGAGAAGATCGGTCAATCCACGGACGATATCGGTCAAGTCGTCGCACAATTTGGTCGACCAAGAACCTTCAAACCACAATGTTAGATATCAAGAACATTGAGAAATCTGTGATTTTAAC